GAGCTCTCTCCAAACAACGGTGTGTATCAAGTGGTAGATTAGGATTCTATCTGAATCTTCGATGCATATGAATCGAACAGGTAATGATTACCAAAGCAAAATTACCTGCAATCTGCTTTGTGCTAATTTTGCTCTGATAAATAAACTGCTCCTCATTGTAAGATTAGGTTGCCTTTTCCGCATTGTTCTTTAGCAAGGCTACTAGTCTACGCGCCCTGTGTGTGACCTTAGCAAAGTCTCAAATCTTAGTTCTATTTTGAATGTCAAACACAGGGTGATCCTGTTGCTGTTAGCACTGACTCAATTATGATGGCCGACATTGCAAAAGTTTTAAGGGTAGATCTTAAATAACAAATTATGTACGCCTTATTGTTGATGTTGAGAGAGTGAATAGTAGCTGGAACTTTAAAACCCTTTGACATCTCTGTGGACTGTACTCTGTTGCTTTGCACAGTCGTGAAATCGACGTAACTCACCACAAGGTATACTTTGTGAGGTCAAACAAGTAACCTCTGAGGCATTTTATTAATCACGTGACACTCACGAAATGCACCTCTCTTTTGACTGACCTACCATTGCTGCAGTTTAAGGTGTGTTCATCTGGCGTCACGTATATGTGACACACATTCTTCCTACAAAATTTCCTCCAAAACCTTTTGTGGTGCCCTTCAGTACATTAATTCAAACTAATTGACTTGATAAACAAAACTTGGTAGTTTTAATTAAACGAGATGCAAAGAATAGTAGAAGTGGGATGCTGATGACGAAAGAATGAAGGTAGGCAGCGTTAAATCTGCCAAATTGAAGGCTGCAAGTAGTGTGCATTTCGCTGTAGGATGTCCACGAGTTATCTGCCTCTTCTATGGACCAAATGGAAGATAGCGGATAGGAGGGGCGGTTGTGCGAGGTGTCGAGGATTTGCTCACAGTCTGGCGTCTTCGTCCCCTTCAACCTATCTCTGCCAATAGCGATACGTCTGCTGACGTCGCTATCGCCACCACGATTACTGATGGCGTACAGCACTTTGACTAGTTTCGTACTCAGCTCCTTTCATCGGTTCATGGCATCCCAGTTTTCTTGCATCAAATGCTCTTACCATGGGAAATTGCGTCTCGTCCCCTAGTCCTGCACTATTCCCATCCCAGTGAGTTAAAGCAACAACGTCTCTTTTATTCACTTTAATTGAATAATTTTAGGTTAGTTCTTTGCTGGTATAAACGTCGCGACGGCTGCACACGAAAAAAGTGTTGTCTGAGGAAACGGCGGTGTACCGCTGCTCGATGGCGACTTGGCTGAGTGGTGAGTTTTGTACACCGAAGCGTCTCACCGGAATCCACTATCCTCAGTGTCGTATGGCGATGGTGAATGACCCGTCACCGCTAGTGTCAAATTGCAGCTCCGTCTGTTTCCTCGCCAAGAACCTGTGTCGTCGGTCGATTGCTTTGCCTCCATGGCAGCAACAACAATGATAACAACAAGGCACCTCATGTCATCTACATCCAGCGTGCTGTGTGGGTACCACTGTAGCAAAACGCTTCCATCGCGGATGTCTATGTTGGCAGATTTACCGCCGGCGGCATGATGTCTTAATACACCGAACTTGTCACCTTCTCTGCTGACCTTGATCACTAGCCTTGTCCCGCATCTGGGTGCACATTCAATTAAACTCTCGTCTTGGCAGATCCCTCCATTATATTCTGCGCTCTGTAGTTGTGCGTCATGGCAACACTCTGTATGCGGGTCACTTTGTGGCCTACCAGTTACAAATAGAGAGTGGTGTTGAAGGCGCCATTGCAAATGAGTGGATCCCCAGCTCTGACCGATACGTCGACCTGATCCCCTTTACCAGTGTTCAGGAATGCCAGGTGCAAAATTGTTTGGCTGAGGCAGGAGGGGGATCAAATCCTAGCACAAGGCTCTTTCCTTTTATCCCCACTATAGGTCTGTATAGTTTTTCCCTGATGCAACGCACGCCTCCACATCCACTGAATCCAAGACTGATGGGGAAGGATGAGCTTCCGGAAAAGGAGACTAAGCTAAAGTGAAGTTGCATCGCCAGTGCAGAGCATTTGTGCGCTGATGGAGATGGTATGTGGAAGGAAACCGTCTAACATTATTGTTGCTTAACATTCCCATATTTTTCATTCGTGTAATTTACTCTACTTTTCCCTTCCCATCCCTATTGTTTATAGGGCATCAAACTACCTGCTCCTCTCTGTTGATCGTTTCCTGTGTCAGTGGAAATTTCACATGCCCCAAAATGTATTCGCCTGAATAAATTGCTCATTTAGTCATCACATGCCGCCTGATGTTTGGGATCCGATAGGTGCAACAGCTGATGGGATTGCAGATATGTAGGTAGGTAGAGAACTTTTGCTAGAACAAGGGGAATTAAATTTGTAGTGGGGAACCAAGGCTGGTGGTTGGAAAGCCGAACAGGTGTTGTCCGTCTTCAAAAACGGTTGGTTTTTATTACTTATATAAAGATAAGGGAGTATACGTGCCCGATACTCCTATTCATGTATCTTTGGGTACCAGGAATATAAAAAGTCTCATTTTGCATTACTGAGCAGCAAATTTTTGGTTTTCTACCCATGGCGATCTGAAAGGATCCATTGAAAACATCATCAACACCGATCTAAATCGAAGTGCTGTTGCCTTCTAACAAATTTTTCCAAAATAAAAGGACTTGAATCATGCAGCACTAAGACGTCAGAAATTAAGACCCCATTGTACCAAATTTTGTATCAACTATTCAACTGTAAACTAAGAATTAGTGTGTTACCATCAATGAGATGAAGTA